ACAGACTGCGGTGCTACCTTGGCTGTAATGGCTATCGATAAGACAGTATATTCACAGTCAATCTCACCCATTGTGTCCCTCAGCCCAGGCAAGCACCGTTACAAACACCAGATAGCTGCATGTGGTGTAACACTTTTACAGGGATACACACACACACAAACACACACAAACACACACACACACACACACACACACACACACACACACACACACACACACAGGCTCACAATTTTCTCTCTCTATCTCCTACTCTTTCTCCCACCACGAGTGTGAAATCTAATCATCACTGGAGCACACAATCATTTCTATCTAATCTGGAGACACACACATGCCTGACAACAACAATAGCAAGAACTGCAGCAGCAACTGCAATCCGGCACTATCGCTGCTCCTAGCAGCTCCAATAGTCTGCTTTTAAAAGCTATGTATCTGAAAGAATGCTGAGGAATTTAGTAGTTCAGGGTTGCTATTAATACAATCAAGATATGCTGCTATCCATACAGTATGTCTTTGCATTCCAGCTATTCAGGTGCAACAGCTGTAATGGAGCAGAAGTTTGCTCAGCGACCATTTTTCACCAGCCCGGATCCATCTGTTATTTGTATTCCTCTCCCTGGTAGTTTAAATAAACCTGTTAAAGCCACATCAGACACTTCTTTTTCTTACTACTAAACTTCTTCAGTCTCTCACTACACCCTGCCCCGTTCTCTTCAGCCTGCCACATCTTCTCCGCACATCTCAGCGGGGTAGCCAACAGCGAGGGTACAGTACAGAGCCCACCTCCCAGCAGTGCCGTCCTATTACCTCTGGCAGTCATCTCACTGTCACGCTGATCGATGATTCATGTATGAGAGCGGGGCCGGGCCCTGCACTGCTGCTCGCTGCTCACTGCTCGCTGTCGCCACAGTGCAGGTGCTGCTGCTGCTCTCGCTATAATGACTGGGCTAACTCTGACTCTCTCTCTAACATGTTATGTGTGTTGACGGCTATGTGCGGTTTGCAAGAGCGCGGGAGAGAAAGATGGACAGAGAGCGATAGATGGATAGACATACAGAGGGAAAAGAGAGTGAGAGTGAAGGTTCATGCTGAGCACATGCTGCTCTCATAACTGACTGCATGCTGTGTCCTAGTGTGTGTTGTCCCAGTGTGCGAGAATTTTTGTGTCCACTAAGGATCAGAAATAGTGCAGAGAGTACAGTTAAGAAGTGAGGGTAACTGCTGTTTCCGGAGGCCTTTTTTTTTAGGTAGATTCTAGTTTAAAAATGGGTTTTTAATGATGTTCCAAATGTTCAGTAAGATAGAAAACCAGGGCGTATGGGTTGACGAGTATTTAAGACTTCAACCATTTTTGAATTCCATCTTCTCCTCTAGATTTTCCTCTTTTATTTCTGGTGACTAATTAATTTGTTTTTAACCTGCTGCTATCTGTCCTTTTCCATATATTCATGGTATTAGCATTAGTTTAAATTATTTAATTGATTTACAAAATTCTACAAAATCCAGGATCCCAATTAGCAACTGCTGTGATGAAAGAAGGCCGTCAATGGCAAGACTTGTGGCTGTAGCGACTCAAAATACTTTGTTGTTGCATCTGGTTACAGAACTCTGAGTCATAGTTGCATAATTCATCCCACTTGAACCCAGAACGTGACAGGAAACTCACTTCATGGACGTTTTGACATTTTGGATATGAAGATTTGGTTTCTTGCCAAGTTTTAGATGAGAACATTTTTACCACTGTCACGGTGCTGCTTGTAAAACTTTGTGACTTCCGGACGAGGCTGGCTGTTTCAGCTTGTTTCCAGTCCGCATTTCAGACTAAGCTATACGCAGCTTCAGTCGGTAGCTTCATGTTTATTGTGTAAAACTTGAGAGTGCTCGGCGGTTTCAGTTGACCTCACTCCTTACTTTTTGACATTGTACTGTTCTTGACCTTTTATCAGTGCCGATGTACTTTTGCAGTCGTTTTTTAAAGAGTAATGCAAAGTCAAGGTCCAACTCCAAGAAAGGCAGATTTTTTATTTTTAAATAGGCCATTCATTTCATTTTTTGGCAAACAATATTTTTTAAGGTCAAGAACAAACCTTCAAGCTCAGCAGCTGTTCTTTTTATTTCAACCTGGAGAGTTCCATGCACACTCCTGGTTACCTGCAGTAAGTGAGTGGGACTCTTGGATACAGAAGCCTTGATGTCCAAACTTCAATATTTCACCTCTTCATCAAATATAAAACTAATTTTGAAAATATAATCTCGTTCATGCCCATATTTCTAGCAGTTGTTTTACCTACATGTTACTTTTTTTTCACTGAACAACAACAAGCACATCATAACTAGGTTTTTATTGCTGCAAGGACTTTGGGTGCTCAAAAGTACAAGAGCATTCACGCAGACCCATCTCCTCAACCACCATCGTGCATGTCCTCATCAACTTCTCTGGTCCTTATCCTTCTTCGCTCCAGTATGTGCGTGTGCTCTGTGACTCTAGATGCTAAGTGTTCCAAGCAAAAGGTCAACAGCTATAAAACAAGAGAGCGAGAGAGACGGAGAGAGAGAGGCTGATGAGGAGGAGCAGGAGAAGTAGGGTCTGAGGGGCTTTTGAGGAGGGATGAAGTGGTGAAAAGGAGACGATAGGAGAGCCGTGGAGGACTGCTGCTGCAGAGTCATTACCGGAGTGGTTAACACTTGTTAACAGAGGTGTGTGTGTGTGTGTGTGTGTGTGTGTGTGTGTGTGTGTGTGTGTGTGTGTGTGAATGTTTGTGTGGGGGGACAAGGAGAGAAAGACAAGTAATTCAGATAAGAGGAAGTGAGTAAAGAATGGAGCATGAGAGATTGAATGGTAGACGCGCCTGATGTATCAGTTTGGGAAAAAGTCATCATCCCTCAGTGAGCACTCTAACAGACTAATTTATGAAGCTATGATCGGCTGTTCCACTCCACTGCGTAATATAATGCAGTACAAACAGTGACGATGCATACAAACCTACATTTGTAGGTGCAACACTGTATTTAATGTTCTTCAAAGGAAATCTCTGCGGGACCCGTCTTGGAATCTATCTCTGTTAGAGATAATATAACTGTGACCGCGATCACTTCATTGTTCTGACTTCATTTCTTTGAGTTTATCTCATCACACCTGTTTGATAAGAGACCAGGCAACTAGAAGTAATTTTTTTTGATTTGGAAAACTACAGCCATGAAATTGAATGTACAAGGCAGATCATTTGAGTTACTTATTTTATTTTCCAGCAACAGAGTGAGTCATCACAACTAATTTCACAGAGAAGTGTTAATGAGAAAATCCTCCACACTGCATCTTTAAAAAAAATAAATAAAAAAAAATAAGAAAATAAGAAAACTACAGTGAAAGAGGAAGAAAAAAAAATAGGACGTATTAGAATGACTGACTGGTACTCGCACGGATGTGAAGAATGTGTGTGTGTCCATGTCAGGTCTCGTCACACTCTGACAGTTCAATTAGTCTGAACTAAATGATGCATGACGTCTCCCTCATGGCCGTAGTAATCGTCAGTGTTCTGCTTTGAAGCACTCATATTGTGCATGAGTAGATAGCTAAACCAACAGTGGCTGGGGCTAGTCATGTTGAAATGTTGGACTGTATGATTTGCTGATCCCTAAAGATGCAAAATTGGAGCATGGGACCAAATTGGACTCATCACAGAGTTGCTTTATTTTTCAGAGAAATTGTTCCTTTTTTTTCTCCCGCACTGCTGCAGTGACTCAAATAGAATTGAACTATCTGGAGTTTTAATTAGGTATTCCTCATCAGCGAGGGATCAAGTGTGGGTGAGCGCGTAGGTGTGTCTCAGCATGGGTGTGTGCATTCACACATACATAAAGAAAAAAGAACAGGTACATTTGTACACGTGTGCACATGCTATACCCGTGTTTGTGTTGGTCATGTAGCTAATTTGTTTTCACCAAGCATCCATTTTGTGCAAGCATTAGCGAGCGCGTGTCAAGTGCTTTTTTTTGTGGGTGTCTGCAATCAGCAGACACGAGTCAGACAGTGAAGACGTTTGAAGTCGTTAGAAGTTCCTTACCTTGATCTGCATGCAGCAGCCATCCTGTGACTGCCACCAGCGCATAGCAACTTTCTGATTTGACTCGGCTGCTTTTGTTTGATGTTCTGAATGTGTCAGAGGGAGAAAAAAAAAACTTGCGGTGATTTATTTCATTTGCTTTGTTCTTCATATCAGCAAAGGGACATTACCTTTAGAGATTCTCTCAAGTTAAACACGAAAGCAGCGTTGGAGCACAATCTCGCATTAATGGTACCTTGTGATTGGTCAGAGCTCGGTGAATATTTTACTGAATATTTTATTGACAGCCTTGCAGGGCACTAATTAATTTCCTTAATGGGCAGGTGTTAGTTGTTTTTATTTAATAGCATGCTGGATTGTCGTCCTAGTAAACAGTTTTATAAGGGGGAGGGGGAGTCCAGCATCCACCCATAGCCTTTGTTGTTTAAAAGGCCCATATGGATTGTGAATCGGCAGCAGCTTTCAAAGCATCATTAGTCATGCATAAAAGACTGTGTTAGCGCTTTAATACCAGCCCTGGGCTCAGGCTCCAAAGATCTGCCTTAATTGCCCACCTCTGCTACATTCTGTGTTCATGTGCGCAAGAGTACACACTTACTAGACATGGGTTTATAACAGTTTATGTATCTGTGAATCTGTGTGTGTGTGTGTGTGTGTGTGTGTGTGTGTGTGTGTGTGTGTGTGTGTGTGTGTGTGTGTGTGTGTGTGTGTGTGTGTGTGTGTGTGTGTGTGTGTTAATTGTCTTTAGCCTTGCTGGGCACTAATAAGCACATAAACAGAGTGTGAGCTCTGAGATGGGCATTATAAAGGAGATTCAGACACACCCCTTTTCATGCTTTGAATAATAATCCATGCTACCTGTTTTTCCTCTTCCATTGGCTGTGTGTGTATGTTTGTGTGTATATGTGTGTGTGTTTGTGCATGTGTGACTGTGTGTAGCGGTCCACCTGTTAGGTCTGACCTGGCATCTGCGGCACGGCGAGAGCCAGCTGTATGAGAATGGCCTGAGCTCAGCGGACCATCAACAGGATGACCGCAGCAAAACCAGACCCACCAGCTCCATCCACCTGCTGGACACACTCAACCCTGAAAACACACACGCTGGTGACAGAGGTGAGCTGACACGTACACATCATACACCATAATAACAGCTGTTCTGCACTCCACTGTTTACAGGATTCTCCTCTCGGAAACAACAAAGCAAATTCAGAACAGACATTTGTTATTTGTGAAATATTGAATGTATGAAATGAAAGCCGTCTTTCATACACCTTGTTTTATTTTAACTGTACCATGCTGATTTTCTTCACAATTTCTGTAACATATTGGAATGATGAAGCAAATTTGCAGTTCCATTTAACTCATGTAAAGAACTTTTTAAATTGTTAGTAAGTCTGATTTAATTCATCGTGAAACATATATCTCTCCAGGACGGCCTGTACCTGGGTGGGGGAGTTTTCAGGCTTTAAACTGTGATCCAATCTGAGCGACAGAAGCAGTGTCTTCTCTTCCTACATGAAAGTTTATTTATATTTCTGCTGCATCCAGGAAAATGAATCATTTTTGACATGGGCTGCTCTTACTGCTTAATTAGTGATTTTACATATCAAAGTATGTTTACAGGTGTTGGAGAGTTCTGCTGCATATTTACCAAGAAGCTTTTTGTGACTTCAGAAGAAGTTGTGCAAAGTCTCATAAATGTCCTAAAGCGATGACATTTGAATCATGATTATAACCTTTATGCTGATAAGTCTTTGAAATCTTTACCCAGAGTGGACAAAGCATTTTCACATCAGGACTTCTCTTGTCCTCCGCTGTGAAACATTTATACTAGAAAGAGACCTTAGCCTGCTCTTCATCTTTAGCACCTTGAAATGATTTTCGCCACATCTAGCATAATAAAACTAAATCTCCGAACGAGTGTTTTTTATTTACTGCAATGAAAAAAAAAAAAAAAGAATATATTTTTTGACCAATTCTGTATCCACACTGCAGCCTGCTGCTGAAGCCGATATGGTCACCTTTTTTCTTTTAAATGTCATCTTTGTAAACGAAAGAAAAAAAATCATCCAGAAATCAGTTAATATCAAATTTAACAGCAGCAGAGGGGTCGTTTTTAATCTATTCCACTCCATCCTATTGAGACACAATCCAACTAACCATGCTGCTAATTACTTATATGACTTACACGAGCTGGCTCAGTCCTTCTTCATATACAAAGAGGGGAAACAGTAGAGACATGTAAAGTGCAACATTTCAGCAAACCAAAGAAAGTTAACATTATTAATTAACACTTTAAAGAAAGATGTAATGTTTGCATACAAAGCACTAAACTCTGGATCCATTTCATATCTACGCATCTGACCTCCGGTCTTTGTTCATCCCACTGTCTGTCTGTAATATTTAACTCTACGTTTACTTGTGGCCGAGCATATCTTCTTCTCTTTCAATTAATGTGGTTAGTTCATGAAGTCAAGCTCTGTGTTCAAATGAAATCATTAGATAAGCTGGTTTAGTTCGTTTACATGAGCTACAAGAAGGCTTTATGAAACAAGATGATTCTCTGAAGCGCCTTTATCAAACAGCTCACAGGTCATCTGAAAGTGCAGTCACGTACTTTTCTCAATTTAATAACTTTCTTTTAATGTCCTCCTCTTTTTTCTTCTTCATGCAAACTTAGTAGAACTGTAATCCTACCAGCACAATCAATAGGGATGCAACAATATAGTCATCCCACGGATACAGACCTCTGTTTTTTGGTCACGTTTTTTTCTGGTTCTGATGGGCTGGGCTGTTGGCATTTTTTTCCGTAACTCTGACAGGTGTAAAGCGATGTTTGCAGACAGTCATTTCTTTTGTTTATTTTTTCTCTTCCTTGTCATTCTACTTAACGCTGAAACCAAAACGTCGCTTCCTCACTCGTCTTGTGTACAGTGTTGTCAGCTTCCCCAATTTAAGCACATGGTGATTGGATGTTAACACGGGGTTGGAGGGGGTTTCCGTATCTCAGCGCATGGACTCACAGGTACACAAACGGAGCCGATTCAGAGAGAAATACTTTGAATGGAAGCTCATACGAAAAACCGTACAACCGCAATTTACAAGAATTGAACCGTGGAAGCGGTACCAAGCGGTTCGATATTATAATGAGGATTGTTGAATTCCTAACGATCAAGTGTATATTTGCTGGTGGATTTAATGGAAGCAGAATTATTAGAATATGAAATCTAAATATGAACATTTAAACATTAAGGTTGACACATACTGATACTGACTTTATATCCATCGGCATGAATTCTAATCAGTTTCTCTTGCATCAGGCCTTGCATACATAACACACTCAGCACAATGAATGTTCCAATAGGATAGAGAGACATCAGTCCAGAGATCAGCCTTGAACTGATTACACATTTATTAGAAAGGCAAGGTAATTGGTTAATCATGTTCCCTCTTAGCCAGTCCGTGACTGGAATAGCCTTTCTCCACTCTGCCGTCTCTCAACTAGCCAGAGGAATTACTAACACCAATTTAACCCCATGACACGGGACATTAATTGTGAGTGTTCCAGGTCATGAAGTCAGGCAGGACACAGCAACCTTCACGCTTAGACTCCCTGTGATGGATATTACATTGGATGCTGTTGGAGACCATGTTCAGCACTTACACAGGAAATGTGCGAGCCAAACTGCAGCCCGCTGCAATTTAGGCAACCTGGGACCTCCCCAAAGCAACTATTCCTGATGAATCCTCACATTCAGAGGATTAAGGCTCTCATCAGTAGTTAAATCCTCCGATAGAGCGCGCAGGGGTCATGGAATTCACTTCAGAGCGTTGCGTCACAACAATCTATTGTTTCAGCTCCTATTGCTTTATATGCTTGATGAAAACTGGGAAATCAAAATGGGCAAAGCTAAGCTGTTGATGCAGGGGGCTCAGATTAATAAAATTGGCACGGTGGAGGTGGTCCCCGGGCAGAGGAGGGCCAGAGAGATTAGAGATTAGACTGTAATCCAGTGTGGCAGATTATCACGCTCATCCTGCTGTACCCATCACCTCTCACACCAAGAGACCACACAATCCCGAGATTACACAGCGAACGATGGTGAGGGGAGGCTGCAGGGAATGGGAACGATAAAAACATCACACGGGAGGGAGAGAGAGAAGAGTGAGAGTGATGGGAGGAGGGAAGAATGATTGATGGGCACCAGTCTACCTGAAGGATGTTTCAGATATCCACCATTACAGTGGCACAAGCTAAATGATCGCTGTCATTAAAATACATTTTTCATGTAGCAACGTCTTAGCCATTTTCATGACGTTTCCTACAAGTAAAATTAGCAGGCAGAAAAATGTTCTTTTTTTATTTTGGGTAGTTCATTGTATTCCTGTTGTACTGCCATAAACACAAATAGCAACATATTGAGGAGCAATGGGAGGCTGATTGGAGGATGGTTATCAGTTTTTTGCATGGTTTGATATAAACTGATGACACAGTTGGGAGAAATAAAAACAGGTTTGGGAAATGATTGGAACATAGTAATCTTCTTGCATTCTTCTTCATGTATTTTTAGTGTTTTTTTTATGTCAACATCAGTGCAATGAAGATAGGCTCTCTGTTTGATTTGTTGCCTCTTCCCTGAAGTCAGGATTCTAATCTACCTTAGGAAGCAGCCCGCAGCACAGTGAGAGATACTAATTGACACGTTGTGTCATCTGCGTATGGCTTGTGTCTTGTCAAGGCGTGCATGCTGTGTTTTATGTTCTTTGCGCTATCTCTCCTGGAGTTTCCAGAGATCACCAGGAGCCCTTCTTAGTCCTCCACACATAAAAGCCTCTCTAATTAGTGCTACATTAATTGCCACTCGCCCCATGATAATCAACCTCAGGCTAGTGTGCATGCGAGAGAGAGAGAGAGAGAGAGAGAGAGAGAGAGAGAGTGCATACACTAACTGTGCGTATTTCTCTTTCTCTTCCACTTTAGCTGACATGCATGAATACGAGCATGCAGACATGCGCGCGCACACACACACACACACACACACACACACATACCTAGCACACACACACACATTGAAACTCCTCTGATACAGATGAAAGCAGAAGTGCCCAGAGAAGAAATGTTCTGTCAGTGGATTCCCTGCCTTAATGAAAGTACGTTGAAGTCACCCAATGTGGAAAGGCGGATATATTAATGACATAAAATGATACAAACTGACATACAGTAGAGCTGTGTAATGCCTCATTATAATGCGAAGATGATGAAATGTGGAGTTTGTGGAACGCCATCTGAGCCTACGCTGTGATTGTATAAACCAGTGTATGAACAGAGAGTTAGTGCTGAATTGTTTTCACTCGATCCGATGGTGTGGTAGGAAATGGTGTGCAGATGGATGGAATGTGACACAGACAGAGAGGAGGGCTCTTAAAGAGCACATCAATATTCCAGACTGCGTGCAGAGAGAGTTGAGGGAGTGAAGCTGAGCAGTGTGCATGTGTGCTGAAGAGTAAGAAAGTGTGTGCACAGCTGATGCATGTCTGTGGGGGAAAAGGAGATGTGTCTGTGGGAGGGATGGGTGTGTGCATGTGTGCAAATGCTGATGGACCGGTCCCTGTTACACTGGTCTCATTGATTTTCTCACGCTGGGATACAGTCTCGAGGATGTAACACACACTTCCACGTACACAGAGACACACACAGTGAAAGTATAGATCATTTAGTGAACCCCCTGCTTGAGCGCCTCAAGTTTAGAAAAGCCTAACAGCAGAGACACTTCTGTTACTCGGGCTGCATTCAAAACATCTCCGCCAAATATGTACGCAGAAAAAATTATGATTATTATGATTTCAAGCCGCAGTCTCTATTTACAGTGGAGATGCCAGATTTTATGAAGAGCAGGGGGGCTTTGTAGTACCCACTCTTGACATTTTAGTAGAAGATTGATGTGTTGAGCTTCTGACATGAGATGCAATAAATAAACAAAAAAATCATATTCAATTTGTATCATCTTGGTAAACAGTCCAGAAGTTTGTTTTTCATAAGGAATAAAGTATGACCCAAAATAGTCAAAACTAGTTTAGTTTCTACATGTGCGTTTGTATTTCCATATCATACT